CACTGGGGAAAATCATCCTCGAAAGGATTAAAAGTTGGCAGGTATGTAAATATCATACCTGCCAACATTTACTCATTTGGGTAAAATTTTATTTCTATATTTAAAGTGGTAGGAAAATGTATGCTCTCTATATATTCCTTGCATTTATAAACTTCATTTATTATCTTTTAGACCACCACTATTTTTAAAAAAACTAAGCATATATATATTAATATGTAATACTTGAATAATTGTCGACAGTAGCCTTTTCAAAACACATCGTATTTTTCTGCCTAAAATTGTAATTTAAATTTCATTTTACTACCTGTGGGGATAATCATACTCGAAAGGACTAAAAGTTGACTGCAACTAAGTGACTTCGTTGCACTCAAGCCGTGTTGAACGTTTTAAAATGTCGGTAAAATTAACTGAAATCTACAAATTCTAGTTTGTAATTACGTTTTCTGTGATAACTGGATTGATTTTGGTGATATTTCTGTATTTACCCGGAGTAGTTGCTGTGATAACGGAACTCTTATTCTAACTTTTCTTGAAGCTTCGCTCCCGATTTTCATCATTTCCTAGAGATGAATATGATAAAACCCCATCCTGGGGGATAATGCATAGATAAATACTTCACACAGGCATAGAATGTTTGTCTAAGGTTGCAGTTATTAATATCACACCTGAATAAAATTTTTAATTAAAATTTGCTATTCCATAAAGGGTTAAAAAAATTTGCTTGGTCGAAATATATCAGTCCTGAACTATATAATATTTAGTTTTTAAAACCGACTGACTGAAATGCTCAGGTGGAATTAAAACCATCAAAATTTTCAGTAGCTTCGTGCAACACTTACCACCACTTTTTAAAATTTTTCCAGTTGTGGCCACCCTAAATATTACATAGCTGCCAACTCTTCCGGTTTCCCCGGAAGATTTTAATTTCGTATTTAAAGTGGTGCCGAAACTCATGTCATGTCATTAGACTTTTTGAATTATAATAATTAATAATGATTATAAATGAGTTTGACCATCACTACATATAAATAATTACGACGAATATACAAAAGCATACTAATCTTTATGATAGCACATTTTAACAGAGCCAAAAAAAACTTTTTTTTTAGTAAGATTGTTTTTCGGTGATTGTTTTTCTACCACTTGAAAAATCCATTCTCAGAAAGAGTAAAAGTTGGCAGGTATGATATTAGATCTTAATGTTCTATAAATAAAAATTATAGTTTTGTATCAAAAGTAAACAAATAAGTCGCTTTAATTAACATAAGAATGTTTTAATCAGTTTTACGTAATTTTTAATTTCATATGGAAGATTTGATTCAGTAATAGCGGATGTAATTGAGACAAATCACTCCGGTTAAAATTGCCAGTCTAATCTGAATTGGCACTTAGTTAAATAAGTTTCACTTTCGATTTCAACTCACGTGACGATAAACTTCATTTTCTCATAACGGGCCCCATTTGAAAATTACGTAAGCACTTAAGAGTTAGGTTTGGAGTAGAAACTGATTTATATTATTTTTACATTAATCATTATTTTGGTTAGCTCAAATTAAAATGACTTAACTCACGAACATACCGTTTTGGATAATACTTCCCATATTATTGTATTCGATGTTAACTGCTGTCGATAATGATCGTAGTATTACCATATTCAATAATTCTATTAATTGATAAGACTCTCGATATTATTCAAATCGATATTTACAGTTATTGAAAATAATCGCGATATTATAATTGTCGATAATTATCATAAGTTTGAAATTTATCATAACACATTGCAATCACAATATACTGAAATATAAAATATCGCTTTCACGATGTTTAAATAATATCGATATTTCACAATACATCGCTCAGTTGTAATCCTCTTAATGATATTCAGAAAAAAGATGGATTTATGTTAAGAAGTTTCTCAAGGAAATAAATTTAGAAGATTTGATATATCTTTTGTGGCTTTAGGGTTACTCCTTTTTTGTGGTTATTAGCTATTACGCGGATTCAAGTTTCACTTGCTTTTGATTGGCAGCTTCGTGCATAGCAACCAATCAAATTTTATTTACCCAGATTTTTTAACGCGGTAGCCAAACAACTATTTAAAATAAGTTTAATTTTGCCTGCATGTTACACAATTAATACGTTAATGTTGTTTGTACGTATAAAGGTGCAAAAAAACATTCCATAAGCTAACTAATTGAATATTAAATCATAAAATTTACTGTTACTCTAAATAATTGAATAAAAGTGTTTTTATAAATTAGAACAAGTTCGAATTATTGCAAATAGCACAAGAAAAAATATGGCAGCAAATGGTGAGTTAGTTTTATTTATAAAAAAACGATTTTAACCCATTCTTGCCTGGTCTCTTTTTAACTCTTTAACGCAGAATTTTTTAAAAACATATTTTTCATTATTTTGCATTGATTTAAGTCAATATTGGCGAAAAAATATAATATTCAGCTTTTTAATAATTTATGGTTAAGAAATAAAGCGTGTCTTTTTCTGCTCTAAACGTTAAAATTTTCTAAACCCGACTAGATCACTTCCAAACAATAATTTTTCAAGTTCGCATTTTTTTTTTTGCAGTTATTTAGATCTAAGAAAAAGTTATTCATCATTGAAATTTCATTAATTTATGAAATAAATTATTGATAAATTTTTGGATCTGAATGAAAAAACAAAACAAATTCAAACGACTCTTTTTTGGATTTTAGTGTAAATATTATTCCGATAATCTAAAAGTTTTCTTTTTGTAACTATTAGAATGTTTTTTTATAATTAAAAAATTTTAAAAAATATTTTTGCTTGTAATTAGAACGTCAAAAAAACATAGATAAAAGGCCATCAGCATTCCATCTGCGCCAAAGGGTTAAAAAGAACAGTTTTTTTTGTAAAAAAATGTTTTATTATTTTTATTTCTTTTGCAAAAAACAAGATTTATCCAATACAAATATAATTATAACTGGATCTAAACTCAAAGTATAGTGTTTTTTTTCCCTTAAAAAAAAAAAAAAAAAAAAAAAAAAAAAAAAAAAAAAACAGAATAGATAAATCTATTTGTTTTTGCGCGAATATATTTTTCATAAGTGGATTATTGTTTCGGCATTACATTTATGAGTAAAATGTAAGTTAAAACTATTGAGCCGTTCTAAAATAAATTAATCACTTTAATTGGTATTTTAAAAAAAAAGTTCTACTTTTCTTACTGTTTACACTGGTGTCTACCAATCATGTAACGCAAACGATCGCATTTCTTAAAATTTCCTTAAATTACTAAGGGATGATAAACAATTATTTTGTGCAGTTTCAGGCTATTGAATTTTGAATATGTCAGCTATGAATCTCGCAGATGATAGTGATTTTGAGGAAGCCCATACTGGGCCATTCGATAGTTATACTTCAGTTGAAAGTGATAATGAACAATTTTTCTCATCTCTACCACCTGCCCCAGGTAGGAAAATTTTAAAAGATATTTTTCTAGGTTATTTTTGGGGTTTAGCAAATTTTGGATAGAAATAAAATTTTGATAAAAAAAAGTCATAATTAAAAAAAAAAAATTTCATAATAATCATACGACTATTTATAATTCAGTTCATGACATCCTCAAATAAGCTAGCGTCTGCTGCCGCTAAAAATTATTGTTTATAATTTACTCAAATAAGTTGCAAATTTTTATCCCAACATAATTTTTTTAATATTTAAAGTGGTAGTAAAAGAATAACGTAAGTTCAAGAATGTTTTTCTTTCGATAGCACTTATTATTTATGCATTATCTGATATTTATGTATTCATTTATAATGATTTTTTAAATTATTAATCCCTTACTCAACAATAAATTAATTTTTTAAGATGAACAAAGAACTAAGTTCCCTAATTTTGAACAAAAATTTTAAAACGAACTAAGAATAATCTGAAAACAAGAATGTAAACTTAACAAACTGCTTTCAAAAGTGATTATGAAAAAAAAACTAAACTCATTTAATATTTTTCGTAATTCTTTCATTTTATTCACGAATTTTTTCTAAAAAATATAATTAATTTGTTTAAAGTATTATTATCAGAAATTAAAAAAGTTTAAAATTATAGCATCCGTATTAATAACACAAGTCAGTAAAATTAAGGAATAAAAACTGTGTACTTGTAATCAAAAACGAGCTCAAAGAAACTTAATTTCTATAAGTTTTATTATGAAATAGACCACAAAATTGCAGCAATTCTTTCCCATCTCACTATAATAAAATAAATAAATAAATGTCTTTCAAAACTACCATGCAGTACGAGCAACGCCTCCACGCTGATTTTTATTTGTAGTTTGATCAGACCACTATGTAGGTAAACCATTTAACGAAAGAGCCACTTATTGGAAAGTCTAGTAAAAATAAGAAAGTGGTAGCAAATATATGTCTAAAAATTTGTTTATTTCTTGAATATCATTGTTTTGTTTCATTTACCTGTCAACCACTACAGATTCAATTCTCTCATATATATGATAAATTTCTCTCAATTACTTTTAAAATAAAATTTGGGTTCCTGCGCCCAACTGGTTCATTTTTTAAAAGTCTGCGCAGACTACTAATAAAATACCGTGGGGAGGCTTTTTAATATAGGAGGTGATATGAGTCATATATTATCAAATAGGTTACAATTGTTAAACGAAAAAAACTTGTCTTATCAATGAAATATTTTTCCTCAAACTGGCAGGAAATAGTAACAAGTGTTGAGAGAAAAAAAAATAGCTTCATCATATTATTTTTAAGACTAATAATATTGACTTCAAAGCAGCTCTAAAAAAAAAAAGGAATATTGCGGGAAAATATAATATCATTCAGTCACATGCACTTCACTTTTCAACTTCAGAGAATAAGTTTCACTTTCACTTTCAACTACCTTGGAATCCGCTAATTCGTTTGAAAAAGAAAACAAATTTTAGTATCGTCTGATAAGCGTGGCGATAAAACAATTTCGTCGCCAAGTCAAAGAAATGTATAAAACCTTTCGACTTAACTACGGCATTTATCTCTTCTTGGTAGTAAAAAGCGCTGTAGATCAGTTCCTGTGAAACTTTTTATCATTAATTAGTCCCTACAAATTTGCGGTTTGTCTGATAAGTTAGTCACGTGAATCACATGATTCTGCTAGTTGCAGTTGACGGATAGGTTTTTATACGTCTGTTACACTTAAGCTTAAACATTTGGCGGAACTCAATTGTTAAATAATGGCAAGCGTACAAAAGCCAGGTAAATTTTTTTCTTCTTCTTTTATTAAATTTATGTTATGACCGGTATCTTTTTAAACTATTAAGGCAACTACTTTTAATTAGCTGCTCTTATGAAAAACTTCATTAATTAAAAACGATGAAAATATTCAAAAAAATTCTATATATTAACATTTGTTATTGAAACTAATGAGTTATTTTTTGTGTTTAATATTATAATAATAATTATTGTATACTTGATAATAGAGAGATTTAATTAGCTTCAAAAATTATGAGAAAGGTAAAAAAAGCATTTAATATCGCCTCTAAGATGGTTATACAAATTTTATTGTTTTTATCGTACTTATTGTTGCCATTAATGTAATTGTAATTACTCATGTAATTACTTGCTGGATTTAATGTCTCCTGATTCATGGTTAAATAAATTTTATTGTTTTTATTTTACTTATTGTTGCCATGTATGCAATTAATTTAATTGTAATTACTTATTATTATAATTAATATTGTTATAAAATATTATAATTGTTATAATTTTAACTACCTGGGGAGAAGTAAATTTGGGTTGATAATTTTTTTAAACAAATGATGTTTTGAGATTATTAATTTCAATTATTTATTGCACTCAACTAAGTAAATAAACAAATGTAAGGACAAAATATGCATATTACCATAAATTATTCTGAAACGAAGTAGTAATTACTAAATACCTTGTGCCCTGACATTCCAATACAAAACTAAGTGGTAGTTGATCAAAGTTTAAAGCTTTCAATTTATTTTTAAAAATTCGTTGTCGTAGTTTTAGATCTAAATAAATATCGTTTTCCATTTTATATATATATATATATTGCTACTTTGAAAACTTTTTTAACGGAAATAGGCGAATGAAACAGGGGAAAATTCCCGTGGATCTTTTATTTATTTATTTTTTGCTTTTTTAAAAAAGAAGAAGTTTTAGTGAATTTACGTTACTGTTTATAGAAATATTTTGTTTTCTCCTAAGCTGTTAGCTAATTGTTTAAAACTGAAGTAACGAAGAATTTTATAATCATACTAAATGGCCTTTGAAAAAATAATATGTAATGGTGATAACTGAAGTATTAAAATATCAATGTCTGTCTCATTTTTTTGCCACTTTTTGAAATTTAACTATTATTATCCCGCCCATAAACTACTAAAAAATAGTTTGTGCACTAGTTTAAATTTTTTTTTACATGATTTCTTTGTATAAAACTGCGAAAAAATTTTTTTTCATAATCGTAATTTATTGAATTTTTAAAAACTTAGGTTTTGATGTTAAATCATTGTTTAATATTAAAATCAACGGAAATGGGCATTAATTTTTACTGAACATATCTATGCAATATATATGTTTAGTATAAATTAATACTTTTTATGGTTATGGCTATGGCATCCATATCAGTGCAAAATAATTATGATACGAATTATAATTTTGCACTGAAAAGGTTCTCTTTGAAAGTTTGATATGTTATTTGATGTTATGTTTTACATGCGGGAAAGTTTAAAAAATTTCCACCTTCATTTATCACTTGAACACTAGGAAAAATCGATCTGATACTTCGATTGAGAAGCTTGATAGTAGGGAGTTTATTTATTTTGTTAATTCGTTCATATTGCTAAAGCGTGATTTTTTTTGGTGAAGTAAAAAGTAATAGTTTGATTTTTCTAGAGTTGCATATCATTTCAGTTTTAAAATGAAGTCGCTCCGTTTCGTTTTTGTTTCTAATGTTATATGTCAGGGGTGGCCAACGTGCGGCTCGCGAGCCACATGCGGCTCTTTGAAGGATTATTTGTGGCTCTCGATAAATGTACCCAAGTTCACTTCTCATTTTTGTGCTATTATATTTTAATATTTTTCTGAATCCATTTGAAATTAGCATAATTCATGGTGAGTTTTCCATTTCCAATATAATTATGACCCAAAAAGCATCTGAAGAATTAGAATTAATAGAGATGCAAGACGATCAAGCTCGACAATTAAAATATAAGTCGACGTTGATTACTGAATTTTGGAAATTTGTACCAGAATCGAAGTATCCTGAATTAAAAATAGCTGCTTGTCGAATTATTTCAATATTCGGAACAACGTACTTATGTGAATCATTTTATTTCACTTTAAAATTCGTGAAATACCAACACCGATAAGTATTAACTAACCAGCATCTTAAGGAATTACTGAGAAGTGATGTCCAATTACTCACCAAATTTTAACGAATTATCAGGAGTAGTAATTTTGGTAATTTTTAATATTTAAATTCAATACACATATTTTGTATTTTTATTAATATGTTTTCAAGAAATATAATTTCGGTAAAAAAAAAAAATTATATATTTTTTGCACACCTTTAAAATGCTTATTTAATTGCGGCTCGCGAAAAATTTTAGATTTTGAAAAATGGCTCGACTCTCAAGGAGCTTGGCCACCCACCCGTGTTATATGCCAATAGCAGCAAGCCTGCTTGATGGTAAAACACCAAGCGAATTTTTAACCAGAGGGTGCGTTTCTTGTTTTTCATTGGCACCATCTATGGCCAAGAATATGATTTTATCCACACGTACGTCACAGCCCGTTCATGGGATGGACCCATTCATACGTACATTCATTCATCCAAATCTTGAAAACTCCCTTGCAGCATAAAAAACATAAAGAGACATTTAAAAAATTTTTTAAAAAAAGCATTACAGAAAGGTATAACTCGTAGCCACCCCCAAGCTAGCATAAAAATTTTTTTTTGTTTTAAATGCAAATTTAAAATCTATTTATCACTTGGCGATTATAGTTGGTGCGGCAGATCAGGATACGGAATGATACCCGAACGAATCAGTCTCCTCTTCAATGGCCCAGAGATCTGATTTATCTCTATTTCTAAATGCTTCAAGCATGATTTTTCAAATTGTACCTACACTTTTGCCATGAAAAATCTTCCTAAACATTTACTGCATGTTTGCATACAGTTAGCATTAAAGTGTTTCCACATTTTTGTTCTGCCCCTGTACTTAGTTACATCACATTTTTCTCTATAAAAAATTTTGTAGAATATTTTCTTTCAATATTTTTTTTTAAAAAATGCTGATTTAGGGGATATGCATGTTGTTTGTACCCCTATTTAAATTATTTATTTGAACTTATTGATCATATGATTGAGATTTGATCATAGCTTGTATAAGTATGTATTTTTAAAATTATAATATAATACTCCATTATAGCTTTTTGTAAAAAAGTTTTTTTTAAATATTTTATTTGGACCAAAATATACAATAATAATTTATTGTTATATTATTTTGAAAAATTATACAAATGATAATTTTTCGAATTGAAAAAAAAATAAATTGCTAGCCTTTTTTATTGCATGTTTTTAATTATGTTTAATTTTTAGAAATAGCATTTTAAAGTAAGAATAATAACGTAATATTTAAGTGTTACTCTTTAGTAAGCAGTGTATTATATAATTGATTTTTCATTTTATTAAAAATTACCAATTCTTTCTGGGTTACTTTACATCCGTAATTTGTAAAGAATTTTAAAATTAAATTTTATACTCTGATGAATTTGTTAGCTTTAAGTTTGCCTATGTTTTAACATAAAGGGAAAATACCCTTAATTAAGACGTTTATTTGACCTTGGCAGCATGCCAAAAAAAGGCATTAATAAATTTACATTTATTCACAATAAATCGTTTGCACTATAGGGAATCAACTTAAATATTTTCAATATAAGTTTTGAAGAAAAAATTCAAATGAATAAACAAAAGAGTATAATGATGGTTTAAGAAGATTATTGCTGTCAGTATGAATCATAGGTTTAAGAAGATTATTGCTGTCAGTATGAATCATATGATGAAACTGCTAAGCTTATGTTATCGAATACTTTGCAATAGATCAGCGCACAATTCAAAGCTTCTTCTTCAACCAAAGGGGTCGCCCACAAATTGTGTTACTTACACTTATTAAATATAGACTTTTTCATTCACTTTTACTTCATCCCCCTCCGTAATTTTCCAAGAGATATTTTTGCAAAAATATTATTTATTTTAAAAAAATGTATGAGATTTTACCCTTTGTTGAACAGAAAATTTTAATCGTAAAATTTAGTCAAGAAATCCGTAAGAATTGTGGCCAATGAATGTACGCAAAATGCCTGGTTAAATCAGGAGAAGTTGTGCATCAATAGCACTTAGTCGTATAAACTCGGAATTTGTAGAAAATTAGAATTGACAAAAAGAAAAGTAATAGCAAAAATATTTTATGGATAGATTTTAAGGGGGGGGGACTTTCTAAGTTAACCATGATAAATATTAAAATTAGTTTGATATCATAGAACGTTAGAAATATTTAATATCACAGCTTGTTGCAATTAATTTGAGCATTTGTGTGTAAACGCCTGTGAATGGGCTTATAATGTAATTGTTAAAAATTAGTGTCGTATACATTTACTAGCAAAATAATAAGACTTCAGAATTCTATGTAAACAATCTTTCCTTTAGCAGTAAATGTTTTGAAAGATTTCACAGGGAAAAATTTGAAAGATCATGCTTCAAGCTTTTAGAAATGGTGTCTTTTTTATCCATGCAAAATTTGCTTCGAATTAAATGAACGTAAAAAGTTACAAGCATCTTTCCCCTTTTTAATATCATTATAATTCGAAACGCATTCTTATATAAATTTTTTATAGAATGATTTTAAAATTGCTGGGACTATTAAAAACCGAAAGAAGTTATTAACTTGCTCCCTTATTTTGGTCGATCCGAATTTTGCTGGGGTAAAAATAACACTATTTCTAAATGCTACAAGCATGATTTTTAAGAGTGTGCCAACAATTTTGCCGTGTAAAAATTTCCAAAATATTTGCTGCTCAAAGAAAGATTGTTTACATAGAAGTAATATAGAATTAATAGAGTTAATATAGAATTGATTAGAGTTAATATAGAATTGATCGCATTTTTTTTTGTCCTGTACCTGTACGTTGGCCTATGGTAAAGTTGAGAATTAAGAGGCAAGTTAATT